TATATATATATATATATATATATATATATATATGTATATATTAAATTCTAATAAATAAACAAAAAGACAATATATAATTAAGAACAAAAGATGTAACGTGCGGAAAGTTTGAAAAAAAAGAGTGTTGGCAATTGTTTTCTGCTATCTTATTTGAAAGAATGATTTACGAGACAATGAACTTGTGAGTGTAGAGAAGCCAAAGAGAATATAAAAGATTGAAGTAAAATATGGTTTGAAGAGTGAGTAATAACGTGGTAAAATTAATGTAGGTCATGTGATAATGGTGATGTGTATAAATGAGGTAAGGACACACATAAAGTTTATGCTGGAACTTTCTATGTTGTAGCAAAATAGTGGCTATTTTTTATTGACTTTGCAAACGTTGGCTATTTTTCAATTATCAGTCCGAAAACTGGTTAGCCCGTTCTATTTTCACCCCAATATCTCTAGCGGTCCCAAATTATTTTTTTTTCATGAAAAAATATGTTTTTTCTTTGATATACTAAATCTTTTTAAAAGAAAAATTATCACATACAACTATTTAATATTAGAAATTTTGGGGGCCCTACAGAGCAATTGCTTGACTTGCTTTACCATTGGGTCGCCCCTGCTTCACTATAACAGTCAAGTTTACACTGGAATCAATTTTTTATATTGTGTTATAATACAAATTCTATATAACAACACTTTATTATAACAATCAAAAAGTATCGAAACAAGACTGTTATTGAAAGATTTGATGTATAAAGACAGAGGCCAGCCTAACCACCGGTACAACTTTTTCTTAATTAAGAAGAAGAAGAAGAAAAAAAGGCTAGGACACAAATTTTCATAATATTTGACATTATTCCCCTAATAATTAATCCCATTCTAATAACTCTCACAACTTCAATTTCATTTACAATGCAAACTTATAACTTTAATCTGACGTGTTCTCCATTAAGCTAACTTTTCAACTATTAGTTCAATATATTCTTTCACAATTCCTATTACACAAATCAAGATTCTTAAACATTGTGTTTAGTGAATTACCACCATATACAAAATCAAAAGGGATAAAATTTATCTGTCTTTTAATTGATTATGAAATTAGCCATATTAGACGATTGCCTGTCAAATGTGTATCGCGAATTGGGAAGTGTCGCAATTGTGAATTATATGATTTTAGTTGTCTAATTAGTCCAGGAAGTCAACATGAATGTGAATCTTGCTTTTGGTCAAGTTCAGAGACTTCTCTTTTTTGTGTTCCTTAGTAAAATTATATAAAACTTCAGATTATTTCCTATAACTAAAAGATAATACAACTTTAGGGCAAATGTCAAATATTGCGACAAATGAATAATCATAAATCAACTTTAAAACCATAGTATACTCAAGAGGGCAGAGTATAATTAGATATTTTGACGAAGACTTAGAGCCTGTTTGGCCATGAAAAAAGAAATTCACTTTTTTTCGAAATCAGTGTTTGACCATAAAATTTTCAATTTTCACTTGAAGATGAATTTTAGAATTTTTCGAAAATATGAAAAACTCTTGAAAATATTTTTCACTTTATTTCGAAATTTTGCAATTCTTATGTCCAAACGCCCACTTAATGTTGCTTTTCGTCTAGAGCTCATAGTATGGACACTACTAAGTTCCACATGGCCTATTACTACTACTACTACTTACAGGTTAGTTTTCGAGATTTACTGTGTGTCATCCATATCTTTAGATCATTTATGACAACCGAAGTCCTCAACTAGGTTCTTCTTGTGTGCGCGCCTTCAAGCGCGTAAAGGTAAGCAAACTGAGTCCCACGCCATCACCATACTCGTCCCGCCGAACCTAGACTCTGATACCAGTTGTTAGGCTAGCCAAAAGATACTCTTAACATAATATGATATTGCCCGCTTTACGCGAAACCCATACAGTTTTTCCCAAAAAGCTACACACTATTAAGAGATTTCTACACGGCTACATCTTATATATAATCTCCCAATCTTTTTAATTACGAATGTGAAATTTTATTTGGACACCCAATAACAAATAATAATAGACCAATAAGTCTTCTTGAGTAAACTATATATGTCATTTTTCTAGATGCTTTCTTTGCGAAAATTGCGGCAAATGTGAAAGAAGAGTAAAAGACGATCCAATTTCTAAAAGCTAAAGGAACTTGTTTTGGAATTCGTGAAGCAATTTCGTTCTTATATATACCTCCCCTTTTAACCACCATTAGAGGGTGGCTAAAAGATAGACAGCTATCAGGATCTAACATTATTGGAGAAGAAATAACAATTCATAGTCTAGTTATATTAGTGGGAATTTGTGGAATTAGTATTTAATAAATAGGATAAGAATCCGACTCTCACCAAAACAAATTGCTTTACATGATAGCTGAAATAATAAGGGGAGAGTCAACCAGAAACAACTTCTATACTTTAAACGAGGTAGCGGTAAGGTTTATGTATATTCCATCCATCGTCGACCTCATTTATGAAATCATACGAATATATTATTATTGTTTTAGTTATTGATAGCTCGAATAATATAAGGCAAACGTGTATTAGAAATGGTGAAGCCACTTAGTTCTTATGCTATAGCCTTTTTAACAACCATCGGAGACCGGGGCGTATCTATGTGTAAGGGAGTGGATTTACGTGCACCCATGCTCCACATTCTAGACCATATATAACATTATTATATATCCTCAAAACTACTTCCTTCGTTCACTTTTACTTGTTCACTATCCTAAAAATACATTTTTATTTTTACTTGTCCACTATACTAAATCAAGATAAAGACAGTTCTTTTTTTTTCTTCATGTTTTACCCTTATCATTAACTACTTATTCCTCAAATAATTTATCAAGACTTTTGAAAATGCTATCATTATTATGGGTAAAACTATAAAATACAAACTTTATTCATTTTTTTAAAAAGGAGTGCAAAGTCAAAAGTGGACAACTAGAAGTGAACGAAGGGAGCAGTGACGGAGCCACATGCACTCAAGGGGTGTCAATCGATACCCCTTCATTGAAAAATTACACTATGTAGCTAGGTAATTTAAAAAAAAATATATATCTACTATATATTGACACCCCTTAACTTCTTGGTGAGTTTATTTCTTTATATTTTGATTCCCCTTTATGAAAATCCTCGCTCCGCCACTGACAGGGAGTACTTAATATGTGTATACGTCCAAGCTCAAAATATCTTACTATGTTACAACGGTTAGTAGGTGCACCTCTAAAGTGAGGTCGGGGGTTCAATTTACAGTAGTGACTTATAGTCAATTGGTTCAATTAATTCCAATATTTTCGATACTAAATATAAATATACAGTAGACCAATTAGCAAGTAGCTTTCAACCTAAAGGAAATCAATTTCCTATTTCATTCTTCAAAGGTTGTTAAATACGCATCTCCATATGTCAACATCAATTAAGGACCCATTTTCTTGGAAATTTTTGAAAAGTAATATTCCTAACACCCCTATAAATACCCTACTATATACCAAAGGATAGAATTATAAGCCTATTAATCAAGATCTTATTACAACATACTTCTATTACAATATCTTTTTCTTTTTGTAATGGCTTTGATCCTTGGATGGAAAATACTATTTATCCTTCTTTTTGTGATAATTGGGATGTGTACATCTCAAGTCACTTCTCGTAATATTCAAGCTTTATCCATGTTAGAAAAGCACGAGTTATGGATGTCAAGTCATGGACGTACTTACAAAAATGAAGCAGAGAAGGAAAAGAGATTGAATATATTTAAAGAGAATGTGAAATTTATTGAGTCTTTCAACAATAATGGGACTAAAAAGCCATACAAATTAGGCATCAATGCATTTGCTGATCTTACTGCAGAGGAATTCTTGAGTTATTATACTACTGGACTTAAGTTGTCTAATTCCTACTCTCAAATTCAATCATCATTTAAGTATGAAAACTTGAGTGATGTTCCATCTGTTATGGACTGGAGAAAGAGTGGTGCTGTCACTAGAATCAAACATCAAGGTCAATGTGGTAAGGCACAGTTTCCTATTCAAGAAAAGTTTCATATTCTCTTCTTATTAAGTGCTGACGTAACTAGTAAAGTTGATGATATGTGACCAGCAGGTCACGGGTTCAAGTCATAGAAACATTCTCTTGCAGAAATGTAGGGTAAGGCTGCGTACAATAGACCCTTGTGGTCCGGCCCTTCCCCAGACTCCGTACATAGCGAGAGTTTAGTGCACTGAGCTGCCCTTTTTATTAAGTATTGAGAAAGGATTTAAGTAAAATACTACATACTCCTTTCAAATTTGTGATCTTAAACATGTTTTATCATTGTATTATAACGGAGTATCACTAAGGTTAAAATGAGAATATTAGAAGCAAGCATACTAAATATAAAAATACATTCTTTCTGTAATAGACTAAAATGGAAAATAAGATATGCATAGAGTACTCTCTTCTTGTCCAATAATGTTGACAAGGCACTTAAATTATGAGTGTGTGAAGTCTCACATTGGTAACTGAAAAAATTAGGAGTCTACATATAAGCCTACATATAAGGTTTAGAGTTTTTTTATGGTGTGAGGTCTTTTGAAAAAAATCGTGCGGACTTAATCCAAAGTGGATAATATCACACTATTCTAAGAGTATCTTTGAGCTGTTTTAGCTCAACAACTCGTATCAGATCCCAGGTTCTGCGGACGAGCATAGCGATGGCGACCTGTGGATCGTGGTAATAGCCACATGAAACTGGTTCGACGGGGAGACCCGTGGATCATGATCATGGTAGTGAGCCACATAAAACTTAGTTCGAGAGAAGGATTATTGGGTATGCAAACAAAGTCTCACATTAATAGCTAAAAAGTTTGGGAGCCTGCATATAAGGCGTAGAGAACTTTTAATATTGTGAGTCCTTTTGGGGAAACCGTACAGTTTGGCCAAAGCGGACTATATCATACTAAGTTAAGAGTATCTTTGAGCCATTTTAGCCCAACAAATCATATATGATAATTTAAATTTGTTTTACACTACCAATAATGTATTTGACCTACTTTGCAGTATAGTTACTATTTTTGTATGTTTATCATAAAAGTTAACCTTTAAAACAATACAAGTGATATGATTTGTATAAATATGTGCATAGAACTTCCAACTCATTAATAAATTGCATGAAATATAGGATGTTGCTGGGCATTTTCAGCAGTTGCAGCCTTAGAAGGAGCAAACAAACTCTCAACGAACAACTTGATTTCACTCTCCGAACAACAACTGTTAGATTGCACCACCGAAAATAACGGTTGCAACGGCGGTTTAATGACCACAGCCTACGATTTCATCATTCAAAATGGCGGCATTGCCACAGAATCCAACTACCCTTACGAGGAATATCAAGATTCATGCAAAAGCCAAGAGATGAACTCTGCAGTGAAAATCAATCGTTACGAAACTCTGCCCTCGACTGAATCAGCATTGTTAAAAGCCGTAGCTAAACAACCGGTCTCTATCGGTATTGCAGTGAATGAAGATTTTCATCTGTACCAAAATGGTGTTTACAATGGAAATTGCGAGGGTCAAGAACTAAATCATGCAGTTACTGTAATTGGTTATGGGACAGAAAATGATGGTACAAAATATTGGTTGATCAAGAATTCTTGGGGGACAAGTTGGGGTGAAAATGGTTACATGAAAATTGCTAGAGATACTGGAATTGAAGGAGGTCTTTGTGGGATCACCACTTTAGCTTCCTATCCTGTTCTTTAGATTGTTGAATTTTCAGTGTATTTCGGCCTTTTCCCGAGCTCTGCATGACCGAGGGATGTGTTGTGCACGGAACTGCCTATTTTAATCTATTTTGGCCAATAGGATATATATAGGCATATAGCACCTTTAGTGCTAGTAGTACATGTTGTTTCCATACTATTTTTCCGCTCTGATTCTTAGTATCTTATCATTGTTACTGGTTATTGTTATTGCTCTTTCCATCTATTTTTCTAATCCTTAGGTTGCTGGTACTATCTTTCTGGCCATCTTTTTGAGTCGAGGGTCTTTCGAAAATAACCCCTCTACCTCCGATAGTAGGGGTAAGGTCTGGGTACACACTACCCTTCTCATACCCCACTTATGGGATCATATTGAGTTGTTGTGTTGTTGTTGTAGTGCTAGTTTGGTTACTGTTTCAGGTTTCTGTTGTACTAGTTCAAATTGCTTTTGTGCAATGCAAATTAAATGTCCTTGTTATAGGATGAATTACAGAATGTCATGTTCTATGTAGTTTTAAAGAGAAATGAACTTGAATCTTTATTAAGTCCTCCTTATCAAACCATGTAATTTCATAGCTAGCTAATAATACTCAATTTTGTGACATATTTTAATTATTGATTTGTTTCAAAAAGAATGATATATTTTTTATATTTGGAATTTAATTTTAAACTTTCTAATTCTAATTCATACTAATTCATACTGTCACACCCCAAAAGTCCGCCTATCGACCGGCCCCAGGTACTCAACTTCAGTGTTTCAAAAGGCAGGGGCGTGAGACAACACATTTACTTAATATGAGGTGAGACGTAAGTCCTGAGATATGATGCGTAAGCGCCATAGAACTTTTAAATTTCTTAATTGGAAAGCTAGAAGAGTTTGGGCATTTATATATTTGGATAAACGTATTCACTAGGAGCAAACAACAGTATCAGAAATGTGACGAGTAGGTAATACAACAACAACAACAACAACAACAACAACAACAACAACAA